GAGACCTTAGTGAATTCAGAATATCGCCGAAGGGCGAGTGCTGAAAGATATCCGCGGCGGTAAATTCCATGATCGGCGCCCAATCGGATTCGGAGTCAGAAAAAGAGTCCGGCACCTTAGAGTCACGGGCTGCGCAGAGGATTATGCTGGTGTTCGGCTCGATCGCCGTTGAGACTGCAGCCCCTGAAGCGGTGTCGAACCACCCGTCCTCGATTGGCGCAGTTGGCTCCCAACTAAGGGTCGAAGCTGATGCGGGCGCGGCCTCTGGGGTACTGTTCGGCGGCAAAGCTAGGTCATACCCATCGCGACAGTGCGGCACGCCCGGCTGTGGCTCGAATCCGTCGGAGATCAAGTCTCCGCGGATGTCGGTCGTGTAGTTCAAACTTCCAAATCTAACATGATGGCCACGGGCGTAGCTTTCAATCTGCTCTAGATGGCCAAGCGAATTAGCCCGCAGTGCAAAGCCGCCGAATACGAGGATCTATCCGGGGAGAAAAATCTCACCCTAAACCGCATCGCTATCGATGATAATAGGATCCATCAAGCCTAACGGCGACGACACAGAGGAACTCTCAATGAAAGCACCAATGTCGGTGTCAAAACCGGCGGATCTCGGGTAGGGGTCCCGAACTGTACGTCTAGACCGGATGGTAACAGGAGGCAGGGGACACGATGTTTTACCCAGGTTCGGGCCCTCTTGATGGAGGTAAAACCCTACGTCCTGCTTGATTAATATTGATTATATGGGTAGTACAAGAGTAGATTTACCACGAGATCAGAGAGGCTAAACCCTAGAAGCTAGCCTATGGTATGATTGTATGTTATGGTTGTTGTCCTATGGACTAAATCCCTTCGGTTTATATGGACCGGAGAGGGTTAGGGTTACACAAAATTGGTTACAAAGGAGGAGATATCCATATCCGTATTGCCTAGCTTGCCTTCCACGCCAAGTAGAGTCCCATCCGAACACGAGACGAAGTCTTCAATCTTGTATCTTCATAGTCTAACAGTCCGGCCAATGGAGATAGTCCGGCTGTCCGGAGACCCCCTTATCCAGGATTCCCTCAGGCGCAGATGAAGGCCATGTCAACGCCTTCGAAAATGGAAAACGACACACATGAGCATCGCCGCTGCTAGCATAGGCTAGCCGAGCAGGGATTTCCCCTGGCCAAACTCTGAGCAATTCTAAAGTCGCCGGACCTAAAATCGGAGATGAGGAAGCAACGGTTGATTGGAACCGCCACATCGGAGGGGCCGGGGTTGGATAGGTCGCACCTACCGTCGGAGGGTGGCACCTGGCACTACAAAACACATGAGCATTCGATCTTGCACCAGGCATGGAGTGCAGGTGTGCAGGGTCGGGTGCGGTGAGGCAGAAAGAACTGGCATAGGGGAAGCGACAGCGACCGACAACGCCGACAAGTTAGGACTGGAGAGAACGTAGATCCGAGTTGCTAGGGCCATAGCCATCAGGACGTCAACAACAGTGTTGGCTAGGGTTCCCTCTTTGTTGTCAGCGGGTGCAACGTGAGAGCTTAAGTATAGGTGTGGGCTATAAGGGTCGTTTGAGAGGTTAAATTATATACATCGGCTAGAGATGCCCTACCAACCGTTGTGAGCTTGGCCTACATAATATGTTTTCCCCAGCCTTAGTGCGCGCGCATACTCTCTCTCTTTGATATTCATGCAATATTTAAGCTATGAGAACCCATAATTTGATTTTGTCAACACGTGATATTTTTTATTGCGATGAAACACGTGAACCAATAAACAAACCTTCCCTGGCATAAAATGGAACACCCGAGGACGTGTGAGTCGCTCTGGTCTGCGACATGGTGTCAGAGTATTTCCAACAGCCGCGCTAAACTAGCGCCGTGCCGCAAATTAGGCCGTTTTAGCGCGTGCGCAACGCGGCGGGTCGCTCCAGCGGGCGCGCAAAAACGGCGCGCGCGCTATAACGGGTTGGGCGCGTGGTTGAAAACACTTACCCGCGCGGCGTATTTCGGGCGCCAGCTACAGCGCGCGGCACACTCGAGCGCTCGCGCCGCACTCTCTCCTCTCCTCGTCCTACGCCCCACGCGCGCCGGCGCCGGCGCCCTGCCACCCACCCATGGACGCGCACACCGGCGCCCCGCTCACCCCGTTGTACAGCCGCG